GGGATGGATGTGTGCTGAAAGGAAGCGAAGCGCAGGTGTGGCAGTGATTTGTCTTTTGTTCACACACACAGAGAGGTGTGTGTGGTGGGAGGGCAGTTCGGGAATCCTGCTGAAGGGAGAGTTGTGTCTCCTAGGACTGGATTCTTCCCACATTCAGGATAAGGGTAAATGTCAGGATGTTGTGTGGGGCTGTGGGAACCTAGCCATGCTGAGGCTTTAAGGACTTTTTCCGCAGACATCTGCCTCACTGTAAACACTGGCTGCCAGGGTTAGCAGGTTGCTATTTCTTGGGCTTTCAAGGTGAACTCTTCCAAAGAGTTGATGAACTCATCTGGCAAAGTCGGGAGGCTGACCAGCCCTCTCCTGTCAGCCCTGAAGTTTTAGAGGGACTTTGCCAAGCTCCATAGTTAAGTGGGAAACTAGGAGTTATCAGCTTTCTGGCCTTGTTAATTGCCAAGGAAGAACGTCAAGAGAAGATCAAGAAAGGAGCCAAGGACAAAACCCAGGAAGGTCAGAGAACTTTGTAAATGTGTGGACTAGAGTTTGATTTGGTCATCTTGTTTTCTTGTGGGTGCTTCTGCTAAGCCTTGGGTTCTGTTCTCCAGGGATGGAAGTCTGGATCCCCCCAGAACCTGCCACTGGGATGTTTGTTCCCCTCGCATGCTCTCTGCTCCTGTTTGATGACGCCCCCTACTGACAGACGTTTTCTGGTCTGTGCTCAGAAAACTATTGTGGTCCAGATCTGCTGTGGGTGTCCCGTCCTCGTGTGGGTAACTGGGAGGAAGCAATGACAAAGGCAGCTCACGGGAGTGGAGCAGCTGCGTAGCACTGAGAGCCACCGTCCTTGGTTTGACTTAACCCTGCCATTCACTTATTCTGCAGTGCTCGGCAAGTTCCTCAACAGAAGCTGTGCGGAGTTATTTTGAGAATCAAATAACTGACCCGACATTTGCATGCGAACTGCTCTGGAGCGCACAGTAGATGCTCTGGTGATGTCTTTTCTTCCCTGTTTCCCCTTACCTGGTATGTGATAGTCCCTGTCAGTACACTCGGTAGAACTTCTTCAGTGCCGGAGCCCCAGCTTACGCAAGACAAACAACAAACAGATTCCCTGGGGGCTCATTTTCTTGTGTGATTGCAAAAGCCATGCCGGGCACCATCCAGGGCTCCCACAGTGTGTGCAGATCCCAGATTTCCTCCTTCCTTTTCTGGCCTCTGCTTTTTCAGTAATTATTTAGTTCCCAGGATTCTCCAGCCAAGGTCCCAGAATTTTATCCAATTAATTTTCATCGGCCTGGCTTAGGTCCCATGCCCATCCCTGAGGTCTGGGAGAAGTGGTGTTCTCAGAAGCGCTCTCTCCGTGTCCATGTGTCTGTCTGTCTGACTTTCTCTCTCTATGTAATTTCTCTGAGCTGAGGGTGGGAACACTCTTACCCAGTCCCTCTGTACCAAGAGAAATCAAGAGGTGGGTTCTCAAGGGAAATCAGGACACCGACCAGAAGCAGATTCTGGTGATGGACTGAGAAAACCACCAGGTTTCTGGTATCGATTTGACTTCAGCAAGACCCGCCAGGTGCTTTCTGCCTGGTGGGCTTTCTAAGATCTTAATGAGCTGGGCAGGTGTCTCTCGGTTTGGGGGCTTCCTTATTGTTATATCGGTGCTATGTATCAGGAGGTACAGTTTGGGGATGGGGAGACCTAGTGAGCTCTGTGAAGTTGGGATTAGGTGTTCCTCCCAGTGTCCTGGAAGTAAGGAGATGGCACATGGAGACTGTTGACATGCTCTGCAGTTAGGCAAGGGTCAGTGATGCCTTAGCGCTTGGACTGAACTTGACCTGGAAGAGCAGCCACTAGCCACTGCCTGCCTCAGGCAAGGATGGAAGGAAATCAGAGAATGCATATCGAGGCCCCTCTGTTCTCTTCCTCCTGCTCACACCTGCACCTTCCTTTGGCTACCCCATGGCAGAGTGTGAGCCCAGGTGTTGTGGACCCCGAGCAAGGCCAAGGGCAGAGAGTGGAGAGACGCCAGCGAGGCCCCACATCCTGTGAGGTTTGCTGTCTTGGAAGAAAAGATACTTGGCTTATGATCAGTGGTGCTGGGAGTGGGAGTTTAGTCAGCGTCTCCGGCTAAATTCTGATTTATTCTCTTGCTTTTGGAAATGTAATAATCTCTCCATCAAAGCTCTATCTATCTGCCAAAATAATGCATGTCCTTTTGTACAAACGAAAGAATTACAGCTATTATGCAAACACTGAAAGGGGACCACATTTGCATGCAGAGGGGAGAAAAAGAAAAATCCTATTTGCAATGAAATTAATGATACCAACGTGGCAAAGAGACGTATGGGCACTCATTTAACACTTGGACAGGAAAAGAACGAAGTTTCCTTGCCAACCCTGATGAAGTAATGGGGCCAAAAAGAAAATACTCTGAAATAGAGGCCTGGCTGGAATAAGCCGGAATTGGGAATTTCTGGCCATTTGAAGATGCCCTCATCCCAACAAAAGATGGAAATAAAGGTTCTTACACAGCCTAACCATGAATATTAATGTTCTAGATCTGGTGCCTGAACCAAGTTCCTCATTAGGATGGGCATCGTCAGAGAGCTGTGAGCAGACAGGATCTGGGCTGCTGGGTGGCCCGAGGAGGACATGCTTTGCATTTGAAATCAGAAGGCAGGTAGAAAGGAGAGGCTTAGAATATGTTTGTGTTCCGTGACCTGGTGCATGATCACCAGGAAGCAGGAGCCTGACAGAGAAAGGGAATGAATCATCTCTTCTGAGGAAGAAAAGCTACAGTGTCCCTGGAGGAATATTCCATTCCTAAGAGGCTTCCTGGCCCCCCAGCCCTCAGGATATAGGCACACTCCTCTGCCTGCCTCCATCACCCCAAGTGTCTGGGGTGAGGACCGTGTCTAACCTGTGTAGTCTCTTAGGGCATGTTGGACGGAGAGCCTGGGGAAATGGTTTGGTGGGTAGAGTGCAAGCATGAGGACCCGAGTTCGGATCCTTAGAACCCACATAAAGCTGGATGCTTCAGTAGTCCTACAGTGAGGTGGGAGTCTGAGACAAGAGAGCAGTCAGGGCCGAATGCACCGTTGACGAAGACCACATGACCCCGTCTCAAACAGGGTGGAAGACGAGGGTGGGCACTGAGACTGTTCTCCGACCTCCTCAGCTGCACTGTGGCATCCATGTGCCTGCAGATGGACACACACGCACACAGTATAAATAAAAAGCTAAAAAAAGTTGAGGAGCCAGAGGGATGGCTCATGGGTTAAGAGCGCTGGCTGTTCTTCCAGAGAACCTGGGTTCAGTTCCCCGCACCTACAGGGCAGCTCACAAGTGTCAGTAACTCCAGTCACAGGGAATATAACAGCCTCTTCTGGCTTCTTTGGCACCAGGCATGCACGTGGTGCACAAACATACATGTAGGCAGCACACCTATTCATATAAAATATTTTTAAAAATGAAAAAAATAATGAAATGAGAATATAATAATCAATGACTCATGGAACTTCGGCGTCCCAAGTAGCTACACAGATGACCTATTATAATGGCTGGGCAGGGGTGACTTGGGGAAGGTTAAGGACAGTGAGGTCTATTGGGAACCAGGCTGCCAATCAATACATTCACTTCTCCATCCCCACAGCTTACATTGGTACTAAGATCCAGCCAGAGGGATTTTTGATTTTGTTTTTGAAGCAGGGTCTTGCTCTTTAGCTCAGGCTGGCCTCAAACTTACAAGCCTCCTGCTCCAGCCTCCTCTGGGACTCTAGGATCACAGGTATGCACCCCTACTTATCTTAGGAACTTTATATTTTTAAAAATTCCTTAGGTGATATCCCCCTTATCACCTGGAAACCCTTGCCCAATGACTACAGCCCATTCACCTTCCAATCCTTCCACAGTTCAGCTGAAGACAGCCGCTCTTAATAGTTGCTTAGAAAGTGAAGTCTCAGGACTGCCCAGCAGTCATGGTGATGATTTGTCTCCCTGCTCTCATCCCCCCACAGTTGGGCCATGCAGGATCACCCCAGGGGAAATGGTGATAGACTTTCCTCAACCTCCACTTCTCCAGTTCAGAATCAGGGAAAAGGCTGGAAGATGACCTAGGTCAAGACTTGTTGGAGACAGAATGTCATTAAATGGTGAGATGGTTCCAGCCCCTGGACAGGTATTGGGATTCCCTGGCACCCTCCCCACAAGTATGAGATATGATGCATGCTCTCTGTGGCAGTTTAAATAAAATTGGCCCCCATAGGCTCATATATTTGAATGCTTGGTCACTAGGGAGTGGCACTATTAGGTGTGTCCTTGTTGGAGTAGGTATGGCCTTGTTGGAGGAAGTGTGCCTTAGGGTTTCAAGTGCTTAAGCCAGGCCCAGTCTCTTTCTTTTCCCGCTGCCTTCAGATCTGGATGTAGAAGTCTCAGCTACCTCTCTGGCACCATGCCTACTGGGTGTTGCCATGCTTCCTGCCATGGTGACAGTGAACTAAACCTCTGAATATAAGCAAGGCCAATTAAATGCTTTCCTTTATAAGAGTTGCCCTGGTCATGGTGCCTCTTCACGGTAACAGAACACTGACCAAGACACTCACCTTCGTAGGTTGAGTCAGATTTCACGTGACCTCTGTGGAGACAAACACTGGACTATTCCAGAAGCTCTCCCACTCCTGCTCTCACCAGAATTCCACAGTCTCTACACAGGAACTGCACTTATGAACACAGATTGTGCTGCACTGAAAGTCTGCCTTTCACCTCCTCCCCATTTATAAAGCCAATCATACACTGAGATTATTATTTTCCAGATTAAGTAGGGTAGGATATTGAGTCATTAGAAGCACAGATACTGTGAGCATACAAACTTAAATGGTAAACTTTAATGGACACACACACACACACACGTACACATGCACCTACACAAACATACGCACATGAACACACACACATACACATGCACCTATATAGCCCCCCCCCCCAACAGTTGTTGGATTCTGGATCCAGGTAGTGTGAATTTGAATATGGCATATCACACTAACTATGTACATTTGGGAAGTCACTTAACTTCTCTGCTCCTTGGTTCCTTCATCTGAGAAATGGGACAACACCCTCTCTTTCATGAGGTTGGTATAAGGATCAGTGAGGTACTATATGCAAAACTCCTAGAGCAGTTGTATACAGTAAGCACCAACTAATGCCACCTCTTATTAGCCCGTCAAAGATGATAGGCCCCAAGGGGGATGTGGCAGGTAGGAAGCGTTGCTGCTTATTCCAAGGCCATGCCCTGTTTAACTGCTGAAGGTTGAAAACTGAAGCTGTCTTAGTTGTAGGGCTCCGAGTGAGATGGAGTGTCTTTGAGAGATGATGGTGTGTTTCCCTAGGCATGCTGCTAAGGCATAGGACTGTAATTTCTCATTTCTTGAATCGCAGAATCCTGAGCACTGGGAACGGGCCCACAATTCATCTTGGTCTGAATAGAGAAGGAACTGGCTTGCTCAAGACTGCCCAGTTCTCTGTGGCTTGGCCTCTAATTGCTAGGGCAGCATTCTGCCTGCTCATCACCATAGTTACTGTAACATAGTGCCTGGTGATACATTTTATATCCACATCTGTAGTGCTGAGAGTTACAGCCACCTGCACAGGCATCGAGGGGCAGACAACGTGTGGGTCCTGTGAGGAGTCACAGGCATTTTGCGGCCCTGCACCTTGTTTTCTTCTTTGAGGGAGGTGGGAAGACTGTGTCCCTGCAACAGGCTGCTAACTACAACCTACAAAAAGAGCTGGGTGCATCTGAGCCATCCAGACTTTAGAGGAAGGTCACCAGGCAGCTGGAAAAGTGAGGGAAGCAGGGAAAGCAGGCTTGGAAAGTCCCAGCCATGGTCAGGCAGTAGTGAGGAGGTCACCAGGAAAGCTGTTCCCCAGCCTTGCATAAAGCTGCTGCCCCTGGACTCTGACCTTTTGTGGCTTGGCCACTCTGAGCGCTCTCCTCCCCTGCATCTTTGCTTCACTGTTATTGGTCCAGAGCCTCAGCACCAGTATCCCAGGAGCTGAGGTGGGTCAGACATCTGAGAGCCAGAGTGAGGGGAATAGAGACAATGGTAGGATGCGGACACAAGGTACCCAAGAATAACCAAGAACTGCAGAGGAGAATCTGTCCCTTGTGTCCTTTTGACATAGGATAGTGTTTGAATGCTAGGTAATTAAAAATAAAGTGAGAAAGATTTATGGCACACAAGAAAATTCTGAATTGGCCTATTGCCAACTGCCCAGCCTTCACACCTTCCTGGAGTCAGCACCGTGCTCTGTCTGTCTGCCCTCGGCATTCCCTCTGAGAGAGAAGAGAAGACGGACTGAGCAAGACCACAGGGTCAAAAGATTTTTCCCTTTCTCTTTGCCTCTGTCACTACCAGAATCATCCCTAAAGACCCCGAGTGTCTTCTAAATGCTTACTATTGGTTTATTGTGATAAAGGCCACATGACGCAAAAGTCACCATTTTGACCATTTTTGAGTGTTATTCAGTTCCGTTTAGTAGACTCATGGTGTTTTGTGACCAATGCCACTCTGTCATTCCAGAATGTTTCTATTACCCTAAAACAAAGTCTGCACGCGGAAGCACTTGCCACAGGTACCCCTGGAAGTCAGTGTCCTGCATTTTGTTTCTATGGATCGGCCTGTTCTTGAAATGTCACACAAATGTAACTGGACACGAAACTGCCTTATTGTCATGTCCTCTCCTCATGGCACTTGCTACAGGTACTTTGTGGTCCATCTCCTCTCCATTTGGCGCCTCACACCACTAAGGTCAGGGAGTTAGCCTGGTTCCTAGGCTCTTCTCTGAGGCTCACAGATGGGAGGGGAGGGGAGGAAGCCATCAGGAGACAGGAAATCCCCAGATGGAATGGGATGGCTCAGTCAGTAAAGTGCTTGTCTTGCAAGTAAGAGGAACTAAGTCATATCCACAGAACTCCAGTTAAAAACAAACTGTTGGCACAGAAGTGTACACTCCTGGCCATGAGGAGGTGGAGACGGGCTGATCCCTCAGGGCTTGTTGGCCAGCCAGCCTGCCAAACTGGTCAGTGAGAGAAAAGGCCGGTGGCACCTGAAGGTTATCCTCTGGCCTTCAGTCCAGCCAGCACACAATTGCAAACACCCTCCCTACTAAAAGAATCCCCAGACAGACAAGTAACTGGGGGTCACTATGTGATTAACCACAGAGCAGGCGGCGGCTTGCGGAAAATTTCGAGTGTGTGGTAGGTCAGGATGGACGGAAACATCTCAAAAACAGGTTCAGGCTGTGCCACTGGCCTCTGCGTGTCCTGCCATGTCCATGCTGCCCTCCAACACGGAGGGAGGACACTGAGGAGGTACCTGGTCTTCTGAGGCTCAGGCAGTGCGCAGGTGCACCGTAGGGCCTTCCTCTTGCTGCGGTCTCCCAACAGCTTAACTAGAGAGAGCACACATGGTGGGGTGGGGCTGTGCCAGCAGCCAAGACAGTGAGATTAGCCAGGGTGACAGGACATTGCAGAGACCCCTGAGTGCAATAGCTTAAGGAATCTGTAAGTGTGGACTGGAGGGATGCCTTGGCAGCTAAGACTACTTATTGCTCCTACAGAGGACCCAGACTTGATCCCCAGCACTTATATGGTGGCTTCTATCTTCCAAACCACCAACTCCAGTGGAACCCATAACGTCTTCTGACCTCTGTGGGCTCCAGGCCTGCACGTGGTGAACATGCATGCACACAGGCAAAACATTCATGCACATGAAACAAACAAATAAATAAAAGACTGCCAGGTTCTTGTTTCTCATTGGACAGCTTCCTGGCGAGAGTTGGGCTGGCGGGCAGCTCTGCCCCTCACTGTCACCCAGGCTTCAAAGCCAACAGTGCCAGTCCCTTTATCTTCAGCAGAAGGTTTCTGAGGGGTGGCCTGGGATGCTCAGCTGGTGGGATGTGAAGTGGTCCTAGACCAGGCAAGGCTGAGCTCACCAGAGGGAGGCTGTATCGGCTCTGCAGCTGACGTCAGTGTCCTCCAGGGTAGTTCTCCTCTGACATTCACTACTAGGCGTGGAAGGTCTCAGGGGGCGAGGGGAGGCTTCAGGAACTCCTCGGATTCTGACGCCACCTCCCTAGCCCTACTGTATATCAACAACTCAGTGCCCAGGGATCGCCCTCGCAGGAACCTCTGCGCTGTCTTCAACCAGAACCCAGATGTTTAGAGATGGTGGTCTCGCTGAGGTGCTGGGCAGAGGAAAAGATACCTTTAGAGAGGGCAGTAAAAGAAGAAAGCCATGAGTATTGGCTCTGGTCTCCTGGCAGGTAAAGAGACCATTGCAACCGTACTTCCTTATGCTAAGTGCTCCTTTAGGCCTGCTTTATAGGGAGAATACTGATGGTAGCCAACCTTGAAATTTAGGTTCCAACTTGGCCACCTGAAATGGTACTATGGTTGAGAATGTTTGCATCTGTTTGAGCATGGGGTAATGTTTTCACCTTAAACAAAAACAAACCTGGAAGCTGAAGGCATGGAGAGTGGGCTGCACTGACCACTGCTGGTTCGGCTCCTGTGTTGATTCCCCCCTCTACTCTTACTTTTTAAATTTTGGAGGGGGGGTTTCAAGACAGGGTTTCTCTGTAGCTTTGGAGCTTGTCTCTTGTAGACCAGACTGACCTCGAACTCATAGAGATCTGCCTGCCTCTGCCTCCCAAGTGCTGGGATTAAAGGCATGCGCCACCACCACCTGGCTGCTCAAACTTTTTTTTTTTTTAGCAGCTGACCCCATCGGCTCAGCCATTTGAACTTCTGTGAAGGTGAGCTTTCCATTTACATCAGCCAACCATAGGCTGTTGCTGGGAACTGGAAAGTGGGAGCCAGAAGATTTCTGGGTGCAGGATGAGGCATGGTCTTGCTCATCTCTTCTTCCTCTAGGAGGGGATAGGTTTACACTGTCGCTGGTTACTCAGGGCCTCATCTCCCCTGCCCAGACCTCTGTAAGTAGTCTGTCATTGAAGTTTCTTCATCTGTTCCCTATGGGAACAGATTTTCCCCACCCCAAACTCCTGAGCAACTCCAGCAAAGGGGCATTGCAGAGCGCAAAGGCTGTCTTTGGCATCCAATGGCCCAAAACTGGACCAAGGACCTGCTTTTTCCAGGAACCATACGAAGCCAGAGCAGAGGACAGTCAACCAGCTCTGTGCTCCCGTTTCTCTATTTCTAGGAGAGCAACCGGAAGTCGATCATTCCACCTTACTTACCTCTTCCTGAGGTTCCCTGTGCCTCAGAACATCATCCAGGTGTCACGGCACAGCACCTGCCAGCATCTCCCTCATGTCTCCCCCACAATGCTTTCAGGCCTGGTCACCGATGATGACTGCATGTCCACATGCATTGTTTTACCAGGGCTGGATATCTGGGGGGAAGAAACAGGTATTTTACCAGGGCTGGTATCCAGGGGGGCAGGGGTAAGAAAATGTTCCCACAAAATTACTGGTGTGGTTTGTCTGACAGTTTATGCCAACCTCAGGCTTCCAAGGAGCTTAATCCCTATAGGCCCAGTCTCTCTCCTGTGTCCCACTGACATTGTTAAACGACCCTGTGCTCTGGAGTTACTGGCTACTACATTGCCACTTCTGGTCGCTGAAGGTGCTTGCAGTGCTGATGTGGAAGGAGGCTGGCAAGGTGAAGTGCATGGTTCAGAGGTCAGATCTCATGGGTTGGGTTGGGGAGAAGGCTGGAAGAGAGCTCAGGGTAGACTCAGGCAGAAGAGTTGGAGTGGAAGGGGTCGGAATCTGAGTAAGAGCTCCCAGGCCTGAAGGCACCAGTGGCAATGGGAATCTGTATTCCATCTCTAAAGGAGGGCCACCTTCTCTGCATCCTCCCCAGCCCACTGCCCTTTGTCCCCAACTATTCTGAGTGTGTAGGGACAAGTGGCCGAAGTACAGGGGTGGGGGTGGAGATCACAGTAATTCCTAGTACCGATTAAGGATTTCTGCATGTCTCTAACCTTAGCGATTTTTCCTTAAACTATACAGTGTGGCTTTCCTTAACACTTACTGAAGAGACAATGTTTTTAAATTCTTATGAGTGTGTTTACACATTTGAGAAGTGTAAACTGTGAGAACTGATAGAATCCTTAGAGTTATCTAAATTACTTAGATTTGATTAATATGATAATGGAAGCTCAGAGTTTTATCATAGGAATTGTCAACATTATGGACAGAAAATTCAGCCCTAATAAAGAATGCATTGGCTTATATGACTGAAGAGTGTAGAGGCATTGGCTCCAGGTATGGCTCAACCTAACTGCTAAACTGCTCATCCAAAGCTCTGAGTCTTTTTCATGTTCTCCTGACTTTCTCAGTATTCTCCCACCCATAGGAATCTAGCATCCATTTCTGTAGCCCCATGCAGTCTCTCTGATTCCAGATCCTTTATCACTGATAAGAGTGACAGCAGACAGGGGGATCATTTCCATCAGAGTCTTTCAAACAGAGTTCCCAGCTCATTGCCTCGACCCAGTTTCCGGTTGGGCATTCTAACTCACATGACAGGGGAAACAAATAAAATGGCTTTAACACGATAATGAACCAGACTAGGTGCCCAGCAAGGATGAGTGGATAAATAAAAAGTAGTGTGTATACATTATTTGACTTAGCTTTATAAAGAACGATGCCAGCTTATGCTGGAAAGGATGTGGGGTAAAGGGAACACTCTTCCATTGCTGGCGGGAGTGCAAACTTACACAGTTGCTTTGAAAATCAGTATGGCGATTTCTCAGAAAATTAGGAAACAATCTACCTCAAGACCCAGCAATACCACTTTTGGGTATATACCCAAAGGAAGCTCAATCATACCACAAGGACATGTGCTCAACTATGTTCATAGCCGCATTATTCACAATAGCCAGAACCTGGAGGCAACCTAGACGCCCCTCAACCGAAGAATGGATAGAGAAAATGTGGTACATTTACACAATGGATTACTACTCAGTGGTAAAAAATAATGACATCTTGAAATTTGCAGGCAAATAGATGGATCTAGAAAACATCATACTGAGTGAGGTAACCCAGACCCAGAAAGACAAATATAATCCATCTCATAAGTGGCTTTTAGACATAAAGCAAAGAAAAACTAACCTACAGTCTACAACCACAGAGAACCTAGACAACAAGAAGACCTTAAGAGAGACATACATGGATCTAAATAGGAAGGAGAAAAAGACAAGATCTCCTGAGTAAATTGTGAGCATGGGGGTCACAAAAGAGAGTAGAAGGGGAGGGGGAGGGAGAGAAGGAGGCAGAGAAAAATGTACAGCACAATAAAACTAATAAAAAAGAAAAGGGAAACAAGATGTAATTACGACATTTGCAGAAAAATGGATTGACCTGGAGATCATCACATTAAGTAAACTAAGTCAGACTCAAAGTCAACTATCACATTTTCTCTCACTATTTAATATATTTATATTTTCTCTCTGCATATGCAACTTGAAAGTAGAGGGGGCATTTTGTGGAGGGAAGAAAGTGTCTGGAAGGAGTGAGGGGGCTAAAAGGGAAGGGAATGGGGAGGCAAACACTTGCAACAATGCATGCTATCTCTGTGTGGAGTCTAGATTCAAATCTATCTATCTGTCTGTCTATCTATCAATCATGTTTATCTACCTAATCTATCATCAATCTCTGATTATTATCTATATTGTCTATCTGGCATCTATTTTCTACTTAGTCTTTTTTTGGACATGAAGTCATAAGAGGGACCATTCAAGAGTAGAATGCGGAGAAAAGGAGAAGAGGATAATGGGGGGGGGCAAATATGAGCAAGGTATAATGACAGATACGGAAATAGGGAGAAGAGGGTAATGGGGGGGCAAATATGAGCAAGGTATAATGACAAATAGATATGGAATAGCATGACAAAGCCCTAAAACTATAAAATTTTAAAAATCAATCATTTAAAAAATTGCTTTTTAAGACTGAGACTGAAAAGATGGCTCTGGGGTTAAGAGCACTTATTGCTCTGCAGAAGACCTAGGTTTGATTCCCAGCACCCATGCAGGGTTCACAACCAACAATAACTCTAGCTCTAGGGAAGCTAATGCCCTCTTCTGACTTCTGCAGGCACACACAGCACACATAAATACATACAGGCAAAACACTCACACATAAAATAAAATAATTCTTAAATTGGCTTTAAGACAATCAGACCCAATTTCCGAAATTTGAGGTGAGGTGAATGACAGCAAAATCATGTGGGTCATAGGTTCAGTTCCCAGCACCCACGTGTCAGCTTGCAGCTGTCTGTGAGTTCAAGCCACACACACGGTGCCCATATACTTTTAGTTAAACATTCATATGCATAAAAATAAAAAAAACTCAAAGAAACTATATGGGGGAGGGCTGGAGAGATGGTTCAGTAAGTAAGAGTGTTTGCTATTCTCACAGAGGACTTTGGTTGACTTCAACTCCCAGCACCCACATGGCGGTTCATACCTTTAGTTCCAGGGGATCGGACACTGTTTTCTGGCCTCTGAGGGCTGCTATACATACATGATACATACGAATCCCCCTTCAGTTCTCTCTCTTCCTCACACACATGAAAATAAATAATTAATTAAAGAAACTGCATGGGTTAGAATGAAGATGAACTTTCAGATAAATCCTGCAGTTCTAGTGAAGGAAGAGGAGCGCCATGGATATTGGGAAGACCAACAAGAGATGTTTCAGGGCAACAGTTTACCCCAGGTCAAGTGTCTGGTGACAGAGGAGGGGAGCTTAGAAGCCAGGTCGCTTCAGTGAGAACTTGCATACGGACCACTTAAGGTTCATGCTCACACAGACACCCAGGTGAAGCGGTGGGCTTGCTCTGCTCTGCTTCTTCTCCTGTTCTGCTTATTAAAGAAGATGAACAAAGTACACTCTTCCACTTCTTCACAGTCCTGAAGACCATTGTTTGAATTACTGAACTGTGTTTGAGCTAACATCCTATGACCATTGAGTATGTGCTAACAGAGGGCCTGCTTCCTCTAAACCCGTCAGCTAAGACTGTCCCCAGACAGCATCTGAGGCCTCTAAGGGGCCACTCCACTTTCTTATACCTGTCTACCTGGTGTACCTAAAGTGTCTTGATTTACGACTTTCTTTTCTTCTGGTCCCATAAAAAACCTCATCAAACCTTTAGCACTTTGGATATGGTAACTGGGTGACCTGAACCTGTGCTCCTGGCCATGGTGACTTAAATTTGACCCTCGAATAAACTATCTCCAGTTCCCTTTGAGGTGAGAGCCCCATTTCTGTATTGCCACGGTGCTTCCTGACATGGCATCTCTAAGTTCTTGGGGTCTCCATGGTAATTTTGGCTTCACTCTCATGGCTCCATACTGTGGCCTCTCAGGGGCAGCTTACAGGGACTCTAGCTTTGTCACCGGCTGGAGTCCCTCAGAAACATCAGGAGAAGCCCTTGCTTATCCTCTGTGTGCCTATAATGTCAGCCTCACACAGAGGGCACAGATTTCTGCCACTGACTTGAGCAGTATCCAGGCACTTCAGACTGTGGCTTTAGCAGCCTGTAGGTGACCAGAAGGCTGAACACAGGGCAATGACTCCCCAACTCTGTGAAGCAGTTCACCAAGTGGCCTTGAGTGGGCAAGACCCAGGGCTCTCCCCTCAAACAAAAGCCGTTGAATCTGAGATAGATGGGGTTCTGGCTAATTCCTGAGATGTCCTCAGAGAATATTTTCTATTTTTTTCAGTTCAAAGTATTTGGCTGTGGGGCGCACGTGCATGTGTGTGTGTGCGTGTGTTACTAGGACTTGAACCTAGAGATCCTCACATTCTAAACAAGAACTTGACTTTTCTTTCTTTACTTTTTTTTTTTTTTTGAGATGGCTTCTCTGCATGTAACACTGGCTGGTCTGAAACTTGCTATGTAGACCAGGCTGGTCTCAAACTCGCAGCTATTGTCCTGTCTTTTGCTGGAATTACAGTATTGCACCATTATACTAGCTCTCTGGCTCCTTGTGTGTGTGTGTGCACATACACATATATGAATATGTGTGTGCGTGTTTGTATGTGTAGGCCAAAGGACAACCTCAAGTATTTTTTTAAATAAAGATTTATTTATTTATTATGTATACAGTGTTCTGCCTGTATATCTGCCTACAGGTCAGAAGAGGGCAGCAGATCTCATTACAAATGGTTGTGAACAGCCATATGGTTGCTGGGAATCGAACTCAGGACCTCTGGAAGAGTAGTCAGTGCTCTTAACTGCTGAGCCATCTCTCCAACCCAACCTCAAGTATTTTTTAACTTTCCTTTTTTTTTTTATTCTTTACATCATGCGTTGTCCCATTCATTACCCTGTCCCTTGTACCCAACCTCTGCCCTTGCAACCCCCCCCAAATAAAATAAAATAAAATAAAATTTAAGATAAAAAAGAAAAATTAGTCTCATCATGGAAGCTGGGTTATGACAGTGAATTATGCAGTAAACCCTTGTATCCATGTATCTTTACCTGAAAGTGTTCATTGCAAAGAGTTATTGGTCCAGTTTGAGGCCTCTGGTTTCTGCTGCACTATCAATGCTGGGACTCATTGGAACTTCTGGTTATCCTGTTGTTGCCCTGTGTCATGGAGATCTTATAGTTTGGATTTGCAGGATCAGCGGTGGATGTTGGGGTGGGTCAACACAGAACCCTGGTTCTGGCCTTGGATATTTGCAGAGTTGATCAGTCCTCCAGCTCTCCCCTGTCTTCACCAGGGTGGGCTCTCTAGCATTGCCTTGGCTAGTTCAACCCTAGGAGTTGAGAGCAAGGGGAGGGGCCATTTCTCCCACTTTCACACCCTCAGGGTTAGTTCTCCCACACCTACATCTTTAGGGCCAGCTCTCCTGTGTTGCCCAGGCATGGCATAGGGGCCACTCTCCCAAGTGTTGCCGCTGGTGCAGGACAGGGGCAACTCTCCTGCTCTTAGGACCTCAGGGTCTGTTCTCTCACCTGCCTTGGGCATTGATGGGAGGCATCTCTCCCTCGTCCATACTGTCGTATGGCAGATGAGGGGTAGGGCTAGGTCTCCCATGTTCATGTTCTTAGGGAGGTTCACTTGCTCCCCAGTCAATAGGTTCAGATCTACTGTGCTGCCTAGAAAAACCTCAAATATTATTTGCCAGGCACTGTTCATACCCATTTGAGAGACAGGGCCTTCGGCTGGCCTAGAGCTTAGCAAATGGACAAGGCTTGTTGGTCTGTGAGCCCCATGGATCCACTTGTCTCTGCCTGTCTGGCACTGGGATTACAAGTGTGCACCACTATGAATGGCTTTCTTACATAGGTTCTGGGGATTGAATTTAGATCTTCGTGTATGCAAGCCAAACACTTTACCAGTTGGGCCATCTCTACAGCCCCTTGGCCTCTTTTAAGGGGTCCTCTCTCCAACAACAGCACGTCTTTTGGTTATACATGCTCTTTTTCTGGAAATGCTATATGCTTTTCCATATCCTGTTTTGCTTTCTAATCCCAATTCTCACTGCAAATCTGGCTAAAACCAGCCAGCAATACCCATGCCACTGCCGGAATGATTTAAGTTTCTTCTATCAGATAAACTCATCTACTCCACAAAGGCTAGGACAAGTTGTTTACCAGAGTGTAACAAGAATGGCTTCTAGTCTAGTTCCCAATAGAGTCCTCACTTCCACCTGGCACCTCATAAACACAGCCTTTGCTGTCTACACCCTTGATAGCATGGTGGTCTCTTAAGTTCTCGCCAGAATTTCCCATTAAGCTCCACTGAAGACAACATTCTAGGCTTTCCTGTTCCCTGAAACTTTCCCAAACTCCTTCACAATAATTCCAGTGTCTTCTGAACCACATCATCAAGCCCCCACTCCTCATTACCAATAGTCTGTGTTAGTCAGTGTGGCAGGTTGAATGAGAACAGCCCTATAGCTGAATACCTGGTTCACAGTGAGGGGACCATTTGGGAAGGATTAAGAGGTGTTGCTTTATTGGAGGAGGTGTGTCATTGGGGGCAAGCTTTGAGCTTTCAAAAGCTCTGCCATTCCCAATAGATCTCTCTGTCTGGTGCCTGTGGATCAGGGTATTGGCCTACCTGCTGTCATATTCCCAGCCCTGGTGGTCATGGACTCACCTTCTGAACCCATACACCCCCAATAAATTCTTTCTTCTACAAGCTGCCCAGTCATAGTGTCTTACCACAGCAATATAAAAATAACAAGATCTTTCTGCTGCTGCCATAACACCTGAGATAAACAACTTAAAACACCTAAATTTTTCTTTTGGCTCATGGTCTGGGTCTGTCATGAGGCTACTGACAGTGCATGGACGACACAGCTACTCAGATCACTGCAGGCAGGAAGACTGAGAACGAGTGGCACAGGTCCCAGTACACACTCCCCAGAGACCTTATTTCCTTCTATAATGCCCAGCTACTGAAGGTTGCATCTCTTTCCAATAGCACCATCAGCTGGGGACCAAGCCTTCAAAACAGGGCGTTCCAAACCACAGTGAGAAAAACTCTATCCGTTTAGTAGTCCCTTCTCAATCTCCCCTTCGCCGTCCCTGGAAACTCTAGTATGTTTCCTATCTCTATAGATTTGCCTCTTCTGGACGTTCCACACAAACAGAACCATACCCAGTGGAGTCTTTTGTGACTGGTATGCGTTTAAGGTTCATCCTTTTTATTATCAAACACTGGTCCATTGCATGGACAAACCAAAAATTTGCTTAAGGATGACCCATCAACCCACAGTTCAGTCGTTTCCCCTTTTCTTGTTACCGTGCTGCTGGGAACATCTGCGTCTAAGTGTTTTGTGTAGACATTCTCTTGACCGTCTATCTATCTAGGAGAGAATTGCTGGGTATCTATTGATTTTTGTAGGATGTCACATGATCTTGTTTACACACTGAGCTAGGGAGCCCGGGAGGTGCTGGGAGCGAGCAAGGCTATTTCCTTCAGCGTTTCTCACTCTGATTGGCAGGATCCTATCACTCACGCTAACCTGGCTTCCCCGGGACACTTGCTGACCAAGAAGCGGATCCGAAGTATGGAGGAATTGACTGGTTTAGGGTCTCCTCTAGTCAGGGATGGTCTCTTCACGCAGACTCCTTCACTGTTTCTCCAGTAGTCCAGCACAGCAGAGGAAGATGAGAAGCCAGCAGCACTCAGCACCAAGCCCGCCAGCACTGGCGTGTGCTCTGCCCTCTGAGCTTCCGCGCAAGCGCGGCATCCCCACCCCCAGCGAGGAGGCGGGGAATGGGCGGGGCCCGCGTCCTCCAGGCCAATCGAAAACGAGCGCCCCCGCCCTCGGCACGTTGTGGACCGAGCTTGACCCCGGGCGCGAACTGGGG